ATGCACGGTCGCGGAACGAGGCTTCGAAGTGCTGACTTCCATAGTTTACCGTGTGAAATTACTGGAAACACGTGTACATGTCTCGCCGCTTGTGTGTACATCCCTGAAGCTCACCAAGCTCGCAGCTCGTCACGGGTGGTGACCAGTGACAAGGACAGCAAGGGAGCCTGCTTGCCATAAGGAGGACAAGTCAATCAGGCACGATGTGCGATGCAAACTGGAGAGTGAATGGGCAAAGCCAGCGGGGTGGCCGTATACCCCACCAGGCTCTGTCGGCGCAACGCTTGTCTCAGATTACTACATCTCCTTCATGCGCTGTGCCCAATGAACCCATTGGGGCGGCCAAAATTCGAAAAAGGCTTGGCAATGAACCCTGGCCCAAGCCTCTCTGAACCTCCATGGAGCCCCAGGCCCTCGGCCTCTGCAGCCGGCAGCACCAGCGACGCAAGGAGCGCGGCTAGGCCTCTGTGTCGGCCTGGGAGCTGCGGTTTACTGTACCCAGCGGCGAAGCCTACAACTGTGAACGGAAGGATTTACGTATGCATTCAAGCATGGATGGGCTGATGGAGGGAATTTAAGCAAGGAGGGATCGATAGACGGGCAGACAGCAAGACAGGTGGAGGGAGAAAATGCGCAGGCATACACTTGCATGCATGCAGAGAAATGCCTGAAGCCTTGTGGTCAGACTTCCCCTTTTGATTTCTTGGGGCTTTCGGGGAAGTTGCCTGTGACACCAAGGTGTTGTGTCTGATTTCAAACACTAAAGGAGGCATTCCCGTCAGCCAAGCTCGCAGCCGCAGGGCAGCAGTTTCAGCCACGGGGTCAAGTTTTCCGTGCAGACCGGTTCGTAGGGCAAGCTGGCCTCGGGTCCATGGCGGCAGAGGGCAGCAGGCCTCTTCCGAGGTTTCCCCACTGGGGGCCCAGCCAGTCTCACATGTTTGGCTGTCCAGCTGCTGGGAAGGGTCAGCGGGCGAGCACCGACGCCGGACGTCAAGAGCCTCCCGTGACTGAAAAAACTCTCCTCCGCTTCTGCTCGGAGAAGCAGTGATGGCCTCGCAGCCGGTGAGGTGCCGCCACCCTCTGCAGTGGCGACAGCATCGCTCGAAAGAGCAGGGTCCATGCCTGGACGGCCGGCTGCTGGACTCAAGTCAAGCAAGCTTGCGCAGGGACCTTCGAAGGAAGCGCATAAAGCTCCTGCCAGCGTCGACACCTTGCAGCGGCGCAATCAAGAGAGAAACGTGGCAGAGGCCATGAACAGCAAGGTAGAGCGGGAATACTGAATCGAGACATAGACTCACGGAATAGGGTCTTCTTTGAAAAAGGGTTACCGGGCTCCCCTCCTTGAAGGCAAAGCGTTTCTTAACACCCAGCCGAGGCTCCAGGAATCGATAGGCCGTCGCAAGCTCCGGATCCTTGCTGCCCTGGGCAGGAACGCCAACGGAAAAACATGGGCGGTGCGTACCATTGGAGTTTAAGAAACTCGGGTTTGGGGGTTCGTGTCTTGGGGCCAAGTTTCGGGACTTGCAGAAAGAGAGTGCCCTATCGTGATGTAAACCCTGGATAACAAGATGCTTATCGAAGGGCACAGGCGCAACCAAAAGTTTTAGAGTGAGTCCAACAGTGCTCCGCACCCTCTACTCTTCCCCCAAACCGGCAAGCCCTAAACCCTAAACCAGACAGGGACCTCCGACGAGGCGTTGCCAGCTTCCAGTGCTGTGGCAAGGACAGCCCCGGGAGGGCGGAACCTGGGCTTCGTTCGCTTCTGTTTCGCACTCTCTCCATTATAGTATGTCTCTGTCTCTGTGTGTGTGTGTGTGCATGCAT